AAAATTAGAAAAATACACCCGTGGAGAAGGCGCCTGATGGGCAAAAAAGGTATATATGCAACTAGAACAAGGACTGACTAAGCCTAAACTTACTGTGAACACAACCTACAACTGAACATAATAAGATACAGACAGACGTGGTTATAGTAAATTTACCTTGAGGGACCTTTTGTCTCCAAAAAATTCGACATCTCTTTATAATAAGTTCGTATATTCCCTCGGATAGGACGTTAAATAGAGGCCCCGTGTTCGGGAGAGCCACACCCCACGCTCGGTAAAGTACAATGTTACAAAATCACACAATACACAAGGGCACTGAAGAAAAGTCCAGAGTCTTGAAAGTCATTGCTACAATGACTCGTTGTACAGGCGTATTGCCTTGTGTAGGAAAGAGTTCTTTAGTCTTTTGGTGCGGGCTGCTGGTACTGTGAGTGCAGCTCCACTTCTTAAGGTCCTCCCAGTGGCCGTTTTCCTAGCCGGTGGAACCAGGTCATGGAGGGGATGACCCTCGTCCAGCATGTTCTTCAGTAGTTTCACTGCCGCCACCTCTCGCCTTTCCTTCAGCGTTGGCAGAGGAGGCACCTCACGTCTTCCCCCCCCCCAGTGAGATGATCCGGAGTGCTCTCCGTTGTACTCTTTCATGGAAAGTCACAGAGGTGGAGAAGCCTCAGGAATAAGGTGAACACCGTGGTACGCCAAGCCGAAAACTGGCACTACCGTCCCTGCATTGAGCAGCCTCAGAGGTGAAACCCCTCGTAAATGGTGGGAGTGTATCAACAGGGAGTTGGGAAGATCAAGAGACAGTGGGAGAGTTGCAGTCACAGATGAGCTTTCAGCAGAGAGCATCAGTCAGCATTTCGCCAAAGCCTGGTGTCAGAGTGAGTCTCTTCACATCTTCCCACTTCCGTCCGCAGACGTGTGTCCTGACCTGTGCTCGATTGGTGAGGTGAAAGTGTTACTCAAGACTACCAACCCAGTAAAGTCGAGTGGGCCGGACAACGTACCGAACTGGGTGCTCAAGGACTGTGCCGAGGACTTAGCACCTGTTGTTTGCCATCTATTCAACACCTCTTATGCAGAGGGCACAGTGCCCACAGTGTGGAAGTCTGCAAATGTTGTGCCAGTGCCAAAGTCTGCTGGAGCATCACAGGTGGAGGACTTTCGGCCAGTGTCCCTTCTAGCTGTTCTGGCAAAACTGCTAGAAAGATGCGTTCTCAAGAGATTACTCCCTGCACTGCTCGTGTAATGTATTCCTTAGGAATTTCTGCACTGATAATAAACATATCTTACTTCTATTCATTTTCTTGTATTCCACAGGAAACAGATAAAACACGGCAATCACATTAAAAACGGAGATTTTCTGACAACACAAGAAACTTCACCACTGGACTTCATATTAAAGCGCTACCAGTCTGAAACAACGCTAATGAACGTGTCTAGAGAAATATTACACCGATTTCCTAAAGTTGGTTTTCAAGAATTATTGTCACTAATTATAATCTAAAGAAAAATGATGGACAGAAATGTGGTCGTTTATTTGACGTATAGGAAATATTTTGAAACAATTTTACGGGATAACATATATCCAACATTATATAAATATCGTCTAAGTAGATGTTAATTCTATGACTTTGCTTTCTTAACCCTATCTAGTCGGGGGGGGGGATAAAAGTGCCCGCGCCAAATTTGATGTCAACAATAGAATTTTATGGGTTTTATGTCAAGTTATACATGGCTTCTATTATTAATAACATCCCATATAATTTTATGTAAATTTTATTACTATAAATGCATAATTTCTCTAATTTTATGACGTCTTTGGCCTAAATCCAAGATGGCGGACCACTTTTATTATACAATGAAGAATGCAATATATTCAATTGCCATTTTTATTATACAATGAAGAATGTAATATATTCAATTGCCCTTGACCTCTGACCTCCAAAACAATAATTGCTATTATTATCTTGATTGAGTACTTTATTATGCTTGGTTGTATTTTAAATTGTTAACTGATTGATTTTAGCTTAATCTTTACTTGTTAGTTTACTGTATTGGTATCTTATATTGTGTATGTTTAATCTTTGTATTGTTTGGCGCCCGAAATCAGCTATGCTGCCTGGGTGGCCAGTGTATTGTATCGTCACAATCGAATTAAAATAAAAAATAAAATGAAATAAAATAAAATGAAGAATGCTAACATGGTACTTAAATATATACGTTAAAGTTAACCTCATAGAACGATATAGCGGTTAAATACATTTATCTTTATTCATCAAGAGATTGTATCCAAATACAAGAATCGTTATTGCTGACGACACTCCCTCGACGAACTTTACAAACCTGCAAGGTAGCAACATGGATCACTTTAGAATGCCAGGCTTCACTGTAAGTAATTGCCAATACTTTGTAATTGATACATTTGTTTCTTCTTGTTACCCAGAGCTTTTATTATTTCCCTTTTGCAACTTAACAAAATACAATAACGTTAAAACCGTTACAATGCTCATTAGTATGCAATGAAACATGCAGATTTTATATTGGTACACGAAAAATACAAAATATGGACTGTTCCTAAATACTGTGAAAAGTGCGATAGGAGAAGGACAGTAGTTTGTCATTTTCATATACATTTTTTAATTATCAGGTACGGCTAGTGCCAAGGTCTAAGGGCCGTTGCAAAGAGTGAAAGGCATCGGTCCGAATACGGACCCCTGTGATACTCTTACTTATGAGAATTTTATGCAGATGCTGCACCGTTGTAAGGAAATGAAGTTAAGTATACTGCATTTATCCTAAAGCTAACGAACGAAAATACAGAGTATTTCCCGTGAAGCGACGACTTCCTTTTGAGTGGCTAGCAAATGGCCAACGTATATAATGTACCTATATTTAAGGAACGGTGTTTTAATGGACACGATAAATATTAGAAAAAAAAACACTATCTGCTTTAAAAGTATCTGACAACTACATAGTACGGAGTCACGGTGATAAATTACGTGATGTTATTTGGACGATTACGAATTACGAATGGACCTGAAAGTCCATTTCCGAGAAAAAAACGCTTATCATCATAACATATCACAGATCCCATCGAATCATTCACCTAATGGCAAAAGATAATAATACCTTTGTAAATGGAATCTCTTTTAGAGAATTTTACAGCAAAAATATAAAATAAAAAGAGAAATGGTCATAATCAAAGTTGCTTATGCTTATATTTTCACACGGAGTGATATTAATATTTTACAATACAATTCCTTTTATCTCTAATAGTTGCAAATTTAACAGCCATATTTAAATTAAGAGCCATTAGGGCAGGCCAACAACATAAAAACATCAGTCCGTAACAAGCACTCTACATAATGGTTCAAGTAGCGAAATAGATACAAACGAATTTACCAAAAGGTGCATGTAAACGTAGATGACGTAATTTGGCAAGCGTGAACATTATATCGTTTAAATGTAAAAAAAAACAAGAAGCCATAGGTGACAATCCTCCGTGAAGTTTTATATATTTCAACAAAATCCCAAGCGTCAACGCCAGACCTACTGTGCAGACATTATAATTAGGCAACGGTTTATACAATGAGGGCGCGTCATAAGCATAAAACATACAAAGAGCTAAATCCATTACTGCTCCCAGGGCGTGTAAAGATACTGTGCTTCAAGTTCGAAGTTCATTTTAATTACACACACACAATCATTGCATTCACATAAAGATCGGACTATCATGGTCGTGTCTAGTAACAAACACAGCCCCACCGCCTTACCGTGCTTGTACCTAATTAAGCGCGCCTGGAACAGGCCAAATTCCAGCAACAGTTGCGGTAAGCACAGCGAGTGTTACTACCGCCGGCCAGATAACCAGGATATCTGCTTAGAGTACCTCTGCTACCAGACAACTACCTAAACCTACGGCCTATTCCACAGGATTCTAAAAGTAGGGATGTTTCTAAAATATCATTTACTCCAATATCAAAACAGCTACGGTGAAAATAAAAAGACGTGCATCATCCCGGACATAATGCCACACCACATGCGAAATTACACAGAAATGCGACGTACGGAAGAATGCGTTTTGGCTGCGAACATCTTCCAAAAAACTTGGCATCTCTTAACCATGGGCAAAAACATACTGGAACCACTTATAAAAACCACCCCGTATCTGCATGAACTATTAACTCCCCCCCCGCTATTCCAAACAACGCGTTTTTCTGGTACCCGTTCCAATTCGCCTCGTAATTGTAGGGTGCGTCTGCGAT